CCCCCCCCCCCTGCCCGTAGAGTCTCACGTCTTCTACAAACAGCATGGGCAGTAAAGGCCATTCCATTGGCTGTGGAAGGATTTGGGGGCCAGGAACGCAGATCTGACCCCCGGGGTACCCAAACAGTTTAAAAAAAAAATTTAAGCACTAAGGCTCACTGGTATCTCCTGTGATTAAAAAAAAAACCACCATTAAATCATAATGCAACATGGCCCATTCCTTCATCGATCCCTACACTACGCCACCCCGAGATCAAGCAGGAGCTGGTTTAAAGGACCACACCACCCAATAAAAAAGACATTTCATTGCTCTGGTGGTGAGTGACTCGCTGGCTCCTCAGATCTCTCAGGGACGGTCCAATTTCACAAGGTGCCCCAACTTGATATTCAATAGAATATAACAAGAAGAGTGAGACTCTGGGGGGCAAGGGAAAGGTGCAGTACAGGATTTCAACCAGCAGATGGCATGAGCTGAAGTCCTCACACAATATAAAAGGCATTGCCGTTCCGGGATTGCCCTATGGGCCAAGTTTTAAAAAGAGATGTACTTCTAAAAAGGGGCACTACCATAGTAGAGGATATTTTTTTGTTGAACCATCACAAGTGTTTTCTCCCCCCCGCCACACTTACACCATCCATTCACCCAGATCCATTAAAACACCACGGCACAAGCAGCGCCTGATACCTCCCGCCCGGAATCGGGGTGCCTTTGCTGGTTAAGGTTTTCCTAATAACCCGCTGGCTAACTACGGGAGACTCGGAACACGCTGGCTGCTCATTCCGATCGAGACCAGCGTGCTGATGCCACCCCTATGAAGAGTGAAAAAGCAAGTCACCCCTGGCACCAGAAGCCAAAAATCAGTACGCGTCCCTCCACCAAAGCAGGGAACCCGGCAGCGAGCCCGCCTTCGCAGTGTCTCTGACCGAGTGCGGCGCCTCACGAGCGATACTCTGAGCTGCTCGACGCGCAGTCTTTGTGTAGTGAATATTCACAGTGCTGGGCTGTGCGCCGAGGTGGCGTTTATGTGGGGACGGCCGTCTCCAGGCTCCTCCGGGTGTGGCGAAGCTTGCGCTTGTTGCTGTAGTTGGCCATCTCTTCTAGTGCGGATGTGTTGGACGCTGGGATGGGGGCGGGATTTCCCTGCTCCTCCTCGGCCTCTTCGTTTCCCTCCGGCTGCTCCGCTTCCTCTATGCTACATGATGCTGCGGGGAGAAGGAGAACAAGGCGTTAGTGTGGAGCAGCTCAATGGTGATCGGTAGAAGGAGAGTGAAGGAATATATATATATATTTTGTGATGTTTTAATGCAACATAGCCGACAAGCTCCTCTATATCTTCTGCATACGTAACACCTCGGGCACATTTCCCCGCTCGGGAGACATCAGCAGCTGCATACAGCCACCCATAGACATGAGGGGCCCTAGGTGGCTGTGCACGGGTACACCCCAGGACCAGCGTAATACTTCTGCATTTGGAGAATGTGCTTGCACACATGCGTGGGTTCTACGAAAGTCACAGAATATAACTGTACAGAGTCCAGTACAGCCATTCATGTCTATGGGGGGGGCTGTACGCAGCTGCTGCTGTCTCCCAGGCGGGGAGATGCCTGAGGTTTTACCTATACAGCCCGGTGCACCTGTGTGCATGAGGCCCAAGCCTTACATGAAGCTGCATGCACTCACTCAATCTCCTTCAGCTCTACCAAAACGAATATATATCTATATA